GGCTGACCTGGAACTCACAACCCTCCTGCCTCAGTCTCCCAAGCGTGTCTGTTGACTTCCAAACCTCACCCTTCAATCTTTTTTTTTTTTTTTTTCGGAACCTGGGATTGAACTCAGATCCTTGTGTTTGCCAGTCAAGCGCTCATCGTACTGAGCCATCTCCCCGGCCCCCTCACCCTTCAATCTTGCAGGGTTTCTAATTAATTCTTCATAGACACCTGCTTTTATTTCCTTTAAGCCAGTTTTGGTGTCTCAATGTCACGTCTTCTTTGATGACCCTAAACACTGCTATTTAAAAATGTTTTTCAGGTTTTCCTATCATTTCCATCATATCTGGAGTGATTTAATAGCCCCTTGGTCAAGTTTCTTGATTGTCTTTATTACCATTAGCCTCTCTCTCTCCCTCCTCTGTCTGTCTGTCTGTCTGTCTGTCTGTCTGTCTCTTGCTCCCTCCGCCCCTCCATTACAGCCACTTGAGTTGTCCCTCCTACTGGTCCTGCTGTAGAATGATCAGGTCATTCACAGCTGGGACAGACCTCCCACCTGCTAGCAGCTTATTGGGGTGCTGAATCCTCCATGTGCCGGCTCTGAAGTCACAGCTACTTCCTCCCTCCTGGCCAGGCACACAGCTGGGGAGCCGTGTCATAGGCCCTGCATAGAATTGGGCTTTAGTCCCACCTTGTTCTAAGTACAGGGAGATAGTTATCTTTTTATTATTATTATGATGTTATATCTTTTACTTTTTCTCTTTTAAAAGTTTATCTGGGGGCTGGAGAGATGGCTCAGTGGTCTAAAGCACCTACTTGAAACAAGCTTGGCAAAGCACAGGGACCGCGGTTCGATCCCCAGCACCACATGCCAGCCAGACCCGCCCCCTGGTGGGCTGAGCTGGCCACACACACACACACACAATAAATAAATGTAATAAATAAAAAAAAAAAAGTTTATCTGTTCCTGCCTAGGCAGAGCACAGTGGCCGGGGTTCAATCTCTGGCATGCCGTGCTGGCCCTGCCCCCGGGGTACACTGAGATGGCCATTGAGACTGGGTGTGGTGTTGCTTGCCTGTAATCCCAGCGCTTGGGAAGCTGTAAACAGGAGAATCACTATAAATCCAATCTATATAGTGAGATCCTATAGACCCTGCCCTAAATACAGAATAAATAAATAAATACAATTCATCTGTTGGGCTGGAGATGTGGCTCAGTGGTAGAGCGCTTGCCTTGCATGCACAAGGCCCTGGGGGGGTTTGATCCCCAGCACCACACACATACACATATACATACACACACAAAAAAACCCCAACAACAACAACGAAACAAACCTCAAAACAACAAAAAAACACTTATCTGTCTTTGCTGTATGGGATGACTTGAAATACGAACTTTAAAATGCTGTTCTTTGTGCTTTAAATCTTTTACTGTAAGTTCATTAAAAATAAAAGCCAGTGTAATTTTTCAGTGTCCTGGAATGTAGTGGGCTTGAAGGTTAATTTTTAAAAATAAACCCCCATCAAACTGACCTAAATGGGAGCTCAGCTGGATGTTTTATCCCTCACAGTAGAGGGCTCTGCCGGCTGCCTACAGGCCACAAGCAATAAATTAGTGCTCCCTTGAAAAGTCAGAGGTAGTAAAATGTCCTTGCGAGACAACTTTGTATCAACCTCTCTTTATTGGAAGTCTCACTGCGCATTGAAGTTAATTGTTAATTTTTGATAAACCAATTTATTAAATTAAAACATGGATACGGAAGAATGTGTAGATTACAAACATGCAACGTGACCAGCGTTCACACGTGGGCATCCACGTGCACTTCCTCACGATCAGGAGGGACGCGGGGTGGGGGCGGGGTCGCCGACTCCGGCTCATCAGTAAGGAGGTTAAGATCCGAGGTCACCAGAAGTGACCAGGGTCCCCAGCTGGGAAGAGAGCCGGCTGCTGGGCCCACGCCTGGGGGGTAGCTTGGGGCCGCTGGCGCAGTGGGGTGAAGCCTAGAAGCCGAGAAATAAGCAACTGACATTAAAGTTAGATGGGCCCAGAAGGGCCAGAGGCACCGGGAAGGGGTAGAGCTGGCCTGGGACCTCTGGGACCCTGGCACTGTCCTGCCCTACCCGGGGTGTTGAGTAGCCATTTTACCTGCCTGTGCTTTGGAGTTCATAATCCAGTATTTTTAAAACACATGAAATACAGGCCTCCAGATGGGCTTACTAACATTTGTTTTCTCTGTCTCTCTCTGTCTCTCTGTCTCTGTCTCTCTCTGTCTCTTTCTCTCTCTGTCTCTGTCTCTCTCTCTCTGTCTCTTTCTCTCTCTCTCTGTCTCTCTCTCTGGCTCTCTCTGTCTCTCTGTCTCTGTCTCTCGCTCTCTCTTTCTCTCTCTGTCTCTGTCTCTCTCTGTCTCTCTCTCTCTCTGTCTCTCTCTCTCTCTGTCTCTCTCTGTCTCTGTCTCTCTGTCTCTGTCTCTGTCTCTGTCTCTGTCTCTCTCTCTCTCTCTCTCTCTCTCTCTTTCTCTCTCTCTCTCCCTCTCCCTCCCTTCTCCCCTCCTTCCTTTGTTCCTTGCCCCTCATACTGTGGACTAAACCCAGGTCCTTTGCACTTACAACCCCAGTCCTTTTAAAAATTTTTTATTCTGAGACAGGTTCTGCCTTAACTGCTAAATTGCCCAGGCTGGGCTCACATCCATGATCTTCTTTCTCAGCTTCCTGGAGGGCTGGGATTATAGGCATGTGCCACCACACCTTGCCAAATTCGAATTTCTGATAAAACTCTATGAGGTGATCGAAAATACAGTGAGTGCTTGCACTTAAAAAAATTATTACAGTAAAAAACACATTGCCACAGCTGTCCCCTTCAAGACACCACCCCTTCTTGCTTTGAATATGCTTATCCCATATTGCTTGTCATTTTCTGAGGCAGTTCTGGAAGTCCTCTTGGGAGTGTCTTTATGTGACACAGTGAAAAGAAGGACAGTGAATGCTGCTGCCCAGTCCCATCCTGTGGCATGTGGGCTAGGAAGAGCTACAGCAGGAGGGCTGGAGAGACAGCTCAGCAGCGTAAGGTCCAGAGTTCAATCCCCGGTGCCACACACACACACACACACACAAAAAAAAAAAAAAGAAAAAAGAAAGAAAGAAAGAAGGAAAGAAAGATAGAACTACAGTAGTGTGTCCTCACCCACTCATTCACTGGCTGGCACCACGGGACTTCTGACTCTGCCCTGGAGCAAAAATGACTGTGAAAGGTAAACATTTTGAGTCTATTCACAACACACAGGCAGCCCCGCAAAAGCGACTAAAGATACAAAAGAGGATTGATATTGCATATTTCGATTGCAGTGTGTGTACGTGTGTGTTTTAGTGTAAGTGCTTCGCTCCTTATACCTATTCTATGCTATACTTAGGCTGAAGAAATGGTTTGCTTATCTGAAGTTCAAATTTACTCCTAGGTCCTGTGTTTGTCAAACAATCCTTGCCTAGGGACAAGAGGTCCTTTCCAGGCTCCAGAGGTGATGCAGAGGGTACCAGGGGAGCCAGAGCCGACACCAGTGGACAGAGTGGCTGACAGAGCCCTGGCCACCAGCTCCCTGTGACCCTCAGCCCCCTGCAGCTGCAGCCCCGTGGCGGGCGGCTCAGCCATTTCCCAAACCTCCCTCGGGTCCTGCTTGGCAAGCCCTGTATTTGTGTTTTTAATGAAAGCAAATTAAGATCTGCTGACTCCTGAGAATGGCAACCTGATTGCTCGGGTGATAAGCGGAGGCACCTGGCTCTCCTCTCTGGGTCGCCTGCTGAGTTTCCAGCAGGCTGGTTCCCACAGGCTGCTTTTCATCCATCATCAAATATTTATCAAATGGCTGGGCACCAAGGGCGACTGGAGGGCTCATCGCTGAGCCAGGCCCCCTGCCTGAGGCACTGTGCATTCCCCTTGGGGTGCTGCGGGCAGACAATAGCATTACCTTTAATGCACCATAGCCCCCAGGTAGTCAGGACTGTCCCCAAGCAGCAGAGGAGAAACTGAGGCTTAGGACGCCATGGAAGAGCACAGGGCTGATTGATTGAATGTTGATTTCAATAGGGATCTCTCAGACACCCTTTCAGGATGTTTCAAGTTTTACTCCAAGCTGGGTGTGGTGTGCACAACTGCAATCCCAGCACTTGGGAAGCTGAGGCAGGAGGATCGCAAATTTAAATACAGCTTGGGCAATTTAGTGAGATGGTGTCTCAAAAAATAGAATAAAAAGGGCTGGGGATGTGGCTCAGTGCAAAGGCCCTGGAATCAATTCCTAGTGCTGAAAAGAAGGAGCAGGAGGAGAAAGAAGAGGAGAAGAAGGAAGAGGAGGAAGAGGAGGAGGAGGAAGAGGAAGAGGAGGAGGAGGAGGAGGAGGAGGAAGAGGAGGAGGAGGAAGAGGGAGAAAAGTTATTCCACAGATACTTCATTGGTTTGGGTGGGTTTTTGTTGCTGCCATTGTTTTACAGTGCACAGGATCGAATTACTCTAGGAAAGTGCCCAGCCACTGACTGACAGCCCGCCCCTGGGAGATTTTAACCCCGAGGCCACCATGGGTGCCCCTGGACACTGAGGCAGGCCTGCAGCGCTAGGATGGCCTGACCAACCTCAAGGTGCAGCAGGGTGAGGGAAGGCAAGAGCAAAGGCTGGGGTCACCCTGTAGCAGGACGCGGAGGGACAGTAACTGCCCAGCTCTGAGGCTCTCGGACTGCTAAAGTTCCCAGGAGAGAGAACACAGAGTTCACGTGCAGAATGGAGGGGTCCCCTTGGATTTCATTTCCTGCTAGTGTTTTTTTTTGTTTTGTTTTAGGGAAGGGACTACGGGGTGTTCAGGGTCTCACGACTACTAGATTGGATTTGTAGTGATCCGCCTGTTCACAGCCTCCCAAGAACTGGGATTACAGGCACATGCCACCAGGCCCAGTCTTTCTGCGGCTGCTTCTCTGGGCCCTCTAACTCCCTCCACCCCAGCCCTGGCCGTGAAGCTTTAGCCCACTGTCAGGGAGGAAGCTGTCCCTTCCCTTTACTCATGTCCCGGGTGCAGTGTTTTTGCCCGAAAGCTCACCCTGGCTCTTCCTCAGAGAGGGAGGGACCATGAGGGCCAGAGGCAGTGAGGTCAGTGGGAAGTGACAGGGCAAAGAGACCAGGCCAAGGGTTGCAGCAGGCTTTGTTTGCAGGCCTGGCTGGCCTCAAGGCTGTGGCCCTGTGCCCTGCCGTGGCTACCTGATGCCTCTATGCCCACATGACTCAGGGACAATGCGCCTGCCTGGTTTCTCAAAGGATGACCTGTGAAACCCTTTGTGAAAAAAAGGTTCTGCAGTCAAATAAGTTTGAGAAGTACTGCACGCCATGCCTCTGCTGACCTCTCAGCACCTATGACTGTATTCAAGCCTCTGAGAAGTCCTGCAATGGAGAGAAGCCTATGAAGATTTTTTTTTTTTCTTTGTTTGGAGTCCTGGAGATGGAGCCCAGGGCTTCCCAAGCACTCTACTGCTTGGCTACCACCACCCTTAAGGTTCGCATAGTGCTTAAGGACTGTTCTGCTCTGTGACTTCAGAGCCCCCTTCTCTCTATGGTGATGACATCTATGAGCCTTGTGAACCCACCTGGGAAGTGGGCAGGAGCTGCGTAAGAACCATGGCTATCCAGGGAGCCCTGCTGAATAATTCCCTAAAAAGGTGGGGGTGGAGATGTCATTAGGGTTTTCCACACCCAAGTTAGTCTTCTTTTTTGGCAGAACCGGGGATTGAACTCAAGCCCTTGCGCTTGCCAGGGAAGCTCTTATTCCACTGAGCCATCTCCCCAGCCCCACTCAAGTTAGACTTGCAGCAAGCGACCACAATCCAGGCTTCGGGAGGGAGCGAGACACTTACCTGTGGATTCACATGGTGGGAAGGGCCACGGAAATCCATGGTCTCTCCCTGGGGGTGTGGTCAGCTCCCAGTGGAGCCCTGGCCAGGGACAACCAGGATGTTCTATCCTCAGGCGCTAGCGTTGGCTCGCTTGGATTGTGTGGGCAGCTCAGGCCCGGAACACAGTCTCTGGTCATTTGTCCCTTGCCTTGTGGTCGGGCAGGGAAACTGCCATCTGAGAGTTCTGCAACCAGCAGGCCAAACTGCCCAAGGCCAGGGGAAAAGCTTGTTTTAGGTCCTGGTAACAGTGAGGGTCCCTTGTCCCCGTGTCTGTCACCTCCTGGTAGTGGGGACGTAAACCTGGGCTTCCTGCCTGTCAAGCATTCTGAATCACACCCCTAGTCCCAACAGGAAAAGAAATTGCAAAAGATTTCATTAATTTCAGATAAAACAAAGGAACCTTTTAAAATACACTCACAATTGACATCCTCCAAATAAAGTATGTTCCTGGTTATAGTGGTATATGCAGTATGTATATATAATTTTCTTCAGATTATGAAGGCAAAATATGTTTACTGTAAAAACCAAAAAATACAATGAAGGAAGTTGTCCACCAGCCTATACCTGGCAGGTAACCACAGTCAACATTTGGTGTATTTATTTATTTATCTTTTTTTTTTTTTAGACAGGGTCTCTCTATGTAATTCAGGATGAACTTGAACTCTATTTGTACCCCAGGCTGGCCTCGAACTCAAAGTGATCCCCCTGCCTCAGTGCTGGGATTATAGGTATGTGCCATCATGCCCGGCTATGTTCTTGTATTTCTATGCTTTAATTTTATTATATTTTAGCTTATTTTTTTTCTGTATGAGTAAAATCTTCTGTCCATATAACCTTCCTCTTAAAACATAACTGACTTATGAGAAATCCACATGACATAAAATTCAATATTTATTTATTTACTTAGTAGTAATGGGAGTTGAACCCAAGGCCTTCACACTGAGGGAGCTATATCCCCAACCCTTTTTATCTTGAGACAGGATCTCATTACGTTGTTATCCAGGCTGGGCTAGAACTTGCAATCTTCCTGCCTTGGCCTCCCAGAGTTCTGGCATTCCAGGCCTGTGCCACTTTCCCCAGCTAAAAGTTCCCATTTGAAAGTGAATGCTGCAGTGGTGTTTTGGGTGATCTTGCTGTTGCACGGCCACCATCTCTGTCTAGCTCCAGGGTGCTCCTTGTAGCCTCCCGTGTGTGCTGCTTCCAAATCAGAGAGCTGATCCTTACCTCTTACCTGTTACCTCCTATCCCCTTGTACCATGTGTCCTGGTGCAAGCGAGGCTCAGACACTCTTGGATTTACCTTTGACCGGGTGTCTGCTGTTTCCTGAATGCAGTGCCCGGCAGGCTGTCCCTTGCACAGCCCAACCCAGATGACTCACACAGCGCTGTTTGCAGCCCAGACCCCACCTCAACACCCCTTGCCACCACCCCTCTTCCTGGCCTCCTCTCCCTGAAGCACACTAAGCAGGTGCACAATGCTGGCCTGTCCTCTGCCACTTTCCTTTCTCTGCCAAAGCTGCCACCGGCGACCCTGCCCCTGTAGCCTGAGTCCTGAGCCCTCCCTTACACCTTGTCCTCTCGAAAGGGCAGCCAGCCCCCAGTTCCAGGTGATTTAATCTCTGTCCTTTCTCCCAAATATTCCCATCTCTCCATGGCCCACATCTGGTGGAGGCCGGCACCTCACCGGGCCTGAAGCTCTTGTGGCTCCAGCTCCTGAAAGAATCTCACACAGCCAGCAAGGTGTCCGTCATCGGACAGGCCCAAGCCCGGGACAGCCACAGAGCCAGCGCAGAGTCAGCAGCGAAGATGCTGAGTGAAGCAGGCCCCAGATCTGCCAAGCCCAACATGCGAAGGGCGGGGATGGGCACGACCTCTGGGGGCCCATCAAGGCCAAGTCTACTCTTCAGCCTTGGGAAGCTGGGGAATCAGCAGGGAAGTGGACCAGAAAGTTGACAGCAGAGAGGATAGAAATGGCAGGTGGAGGCTGTGACACAGGGAGAGGCACTGAGTGGGGACAGCTGGAGGCTCACAGCTCACACTTCTGACACCTGTGACTGGAAGACTCCGAGACCAGTACGCTGGCCAGAACTCACAGGACAAGTGGCTCCTGGGACAGCCCCAGTGATCCCTGCCTCCAGGTTTTCACGGCCTTGGCTGGTCCCTGAAGACCCCAGTGTGGGGCCAGTGAGATAGCTCAGCGAACTAAGCACCTGCTTAGGCAAGTGCAGGGACCAGGAGGCGAGGCACGCATGCTGCAGGACGCCTCTGAGTCTATGCTGCTTGGGAAGCAGAGGTCCACGGCTAATACACTTCCCAGGCACCCTCGCTTCCTCAGGGCGTGGGGCCTTGGGGTTCAACTTGTGCTCTGAGCCCAAGGTTCCCAGGGTCAGGGACCCAGACAACAAGGCGGTGGCCAAAAGTCCTTTCTCACTCAGACGTGGAAATGGTTTTTAGGTCTTCTATTGGTCTCAGCCATGCCACAATCCCTCCCAGAGGCAAAGGGGGGAGCCTAGGTGCTTGCAGTAAGAAGCCCCAAGGTCAAGTGTCAGAAAAGTGCAGGAGGTGAGAGACCCTTCCTCTGTAAATGGTGAGAAACCTCTTCCATTTCTCCTGGCTTCCTCCCAGTTGCTGCAAGGACCCCATTCCTGTCACAGTCCTTTAATACATGGGAACTTCTTCTGTGTCAATTTGAAATCCACTCTACCAGGCAAAAACCTCACCCACAAAACTTACACACACATATATATGCATGCACACCCACAACCCCCACCAGTTTCCCCTATTTTAACTCCTTCTCTGAGGTTTTTTGCTTCATTTTGTTTTTGTTTTTAGTACCAGGAATGGAGCCCGTGATATGGAAGTGTTCTGCCGTGAAGCCACACTCCCAGCCCATTAAAAAATTTTATTTTTAAAATTTGATACAGAGTCTTGCTAAAGTTGCCCAGGCTGGCTTTCAACTGGAGATCCCGCTGCCTCAGCCTCCTAAGTGGCAGGAAGAAATGTCCCTTTGGATTTGTGGGAGGTCTGTCATAATGCTTATTGGCCAGGAGAGAGGGAGGCAGTTTTGCTGGCTCTGAGGGGAACCGTGTGCCAGTGGGTATCATGCCTCAGAGTTGGCGGCAGCTGGCCAAAAATCATCCACACAGCGGGCCTGTGGCTGGGTCCCCCCCCACCCCTCAGCCTCGGGAGCCCCCAGGCCCCAGACATGCACGGGGTTCCCCCACTGGAGCCCTGCCTCTCTAGCCCCATTAGCTCCGCCCCGGACTAGGCCATGACTGGGCAGGTTGTGTCAGAAGGGGCACCACTGGGCACCCGCGCCTCTTTCTACTGCAAACAAGTTTCTCACATTCAGCAGGAAGTGACAGGGCTTCTCGGATTCCGAGAAAGGGAAAGGAGAGAGAAACTGGAAGGGGATTTCTGGCTTTCTGGCGGTGTGGTCCCCTGCGGGATTTGGGGATGCCAGGAGGCAGCGCTGCGCCCCTGGGAGGAATTCACCAGCGCTCCTGAGCGTCGCCCGCGCCCAGCTTCTTTCTCCCCTGGGCGTCGGGGACAGGCGGGCACCTGGCTCCCGGTGATTCGCAGCACCCGCGGCGCCACTGAGCCGCTGCGCCCTGCCACTGCCGGGAATGGGCCGCCTTCCCATCACCTTGGGTACCTGGCAAATTCCAACCGATTTTGTAGAGCCCTGTTTGGGCACCAGCTCAATAAAACTCTTTCACCACTCTTTCCAGACACAATTAATCACTTTCTCCCAGGTCCACTAAAAAGAAAAACGTTTTATTATGAAAACAAAAACAAAAACACAATTGGTAGGAATTGAAAAGTAAAGCAAATTCTTTTATGCATTGCTGTGTAAACCACCTGAATTGTGAAGCCAGTGGTCTCGGTGTTTGCCCCTCCACAATGCCAGCACAGATCGAATGTCAAGAGTCGCAGAGGGTACAGAAACTGTCATCAAGCCCGACGCACCCATTTTACAGAGGCTCAAACTGAGGCAGACACTCGCCGATCAGTGCAGTCTGCCTTTTGGATTATCAGAAAAACAGCGGGGCGAGCACGGTACCTACCTTTAAGTCTTGCCCTGCCCCTGCTCCTGCTCAATAAATCAGCGCGCCCACCCTGCAGCCAGCTGGGCCGGCGAGGCTGCTGCGCGCTCCCTCCGCTAGGGCTTCCATCAGGTCCGGGTTCATGTCCCGCGCGCCGCCCAAATCCGGACGCCGAGTGGCGGTGATCTCGAGAACAGACCCCGCGCGCCACGGCGGGACCCCGCGGCCCGGGCCGAGCTCCAGCGCTCCCCGCAGCTTCGCCAAGCGCCGAGCCAGGTGCAGCGCGCGGGGCCGGGCGGGGC